CCCCCCCCCCCCCCCCCCCCCCCCCCCCCCCCCCCCCCCCCTTTTTCGTGAGGATTGCCTTTAGTCTTGCAGAGTTAATTTGGAGGCTTGGACAACATCTCCTCTTCTGTCTCTCTCTCGCCACAGCCAGTTAATCCCATCAGACACACTACTCTGGGCTCCCAGATGCCAGTCTCAATGCCAACTCTGCAGCCAGGAGGCTCTGTGCTGCTGCCCTCCATTCATGCTCATTTCACACAGCGGGCATAGGGTCTAATGAGGCTACCAGGGTTGGAGGGCTCTGCTGGAGGACTCCATTAACAGCAGATCAGCCGCAGCTACAGTGGCCCATTTACTAACCGCTAACTCAGTGTGGTCATCTGTTTAAAAACTAGGAGACTGAGAGGAAGCTGTAATGGGAGGTCATTATCAATTTTCAGGTTTTTGCCTTCTGTACCCTACAATTGTGCAAAAAAACTGGAGTTTGTAAGTAAGAGGTTGGTAGTCCTGGATCAAACACGGACACATTAACCAAACTCACTTGCCAGAGAAAGACAGTAGCCTATACTTAATGATATTGATGCATCTGAAATGCTATTCAGGTATCCAGCCTAAAGTGTGGAGAACAGTTCCCACAGATGCTGTGAGTCACTCACACAGGTGGCTGGCAAGTGGCTGGACGCCACAAGCTCTTTAAATAGCTTTATTAGCAGCCCTGTTTTGTCATTGTTGTAAAGGTAAATCTGTATGGTCAGAGTAAACAATTTTACTCCATTCACAACACATTGCATTAATCCTTCTCTTGCAAAGAAATAACAAAACACCACCAAGGTTGTCGTCGTCTTTTGTCGTTACAGCTTTAATTTTTCCGCTAAATTTGGTGGTAGGCATGAGACTGATTATGTTTCAATGCCTCCTGTTTATATGTATATGATACCTGATGATTTCAAGATTTATCACACATAACATTTATTTTTCAGAGCAACATAGATAATTATAACCTGATAAGTAAAGCATAACCTAACCACGACCCTTACTTTAGAATTTAAAATGTATCGTAATTGTACATGGCCTCCCCTGTAGATGATCATAAGGCTTGACAGAATATCCTGGTATACAGCAGAAACAGTAGAAGTGCATCTCTAGACACCTTACCACATGAGTTCATGCTCTTGCATGATTTGAGTGATTGCCTAGTACAACTCTAATAACAGTCTTTATAGTGTGTTGTCAGCTGTGCTTACTGAGTTCTTCTGAGTGTCAAGACTAAAATCTGTGTTTAGTCTTTGTAAGTCTATCCCTAAAGTAATCTTTAGGGATGTTCTTCACTTTAGTAAAACCAACGCAGATTGTGAACGCTAATTGAATTCAAGGTGCAGTGCAAATGTTCTTTGTGCCTTGATGTACATAAATCTGACCATTCATTTTTGTCAATCACCACAACTTCTTTACTCCTTTAGATACCCACAGTTTTGTGCATAAAGCATCATAATTCAAAGTCACATTGCCCTCCGTTGCACAAAGGAGCCCACTCAGTTTGAAACTCCATCAACCATTCTTGTGACAGACACCCTCGTCACTCCAAAGTGATTCTCCATCACTGTGAATTCAGCAGCACTCTCTTTCTGCTGGGGAAAATAACTTCCTTGTTCTGTTCAGGCAATAACTTCAATAACTGGCTGCGATGGATCCAATGATGGAGAAACCTGGCGGGGGGTGATTGGGAGGAACGGCTTGCCCGATCTGAACCCGAATGGTGTTTTGTTATTGGACTTCTGTGCGTGCCATGGTTTGGCCATAACGAACACCATGTTCGAACATAAGGTGGCTCATAAGTGTACCTGGTACCAGAACACCTTAGGCCGGAGATCAATGATCGACTTTGTAATCGTGTCATTTGATTTGCGGCCGTATGTCTTGGACACTCGGGTGAAGAGAGGAGCAGAGCTGTCAACTGATCACCACCTGGTGGTGAGTTGGATCAGATGGCAGGGGAACCGGTTGGAAAGACCCGGCAAGCCCAAACGTGTAGTGAGGGTGAACTGGGAACGTCTGGCGGAGGACCCTGTCCGGGAGGTCTTTAACTCCCACCTCCGCAAGAACTTCTCACACATCCCGAGGTGGGGAGGTTGGGGACATGGAATCCGAATGGACCATGTTCAAAGCCTCTATTGTGGACGCGGCCGCTAGGAGCTGTGGCTGGAAGGTCATCGGTGCCTGTTGTGGCGGCAACCCGAGAACCCGGTGGTGGACACCGGAGGTGAGGGAAGCCGTCAAGCTGAAGAAGGAGACCTTCAAGGCCTGGTTGGCCCAGGGGTCTCCCGAAGCAGCTGACAGGTACCGGCATGCCAGAAGGGCTGCAGCTGCGGTGGTCGCGAATGCTAAAACTCGGGCATGGGAGGAGTTCGGGGAGGCCATGGAGAAGGACTTTCGGTTGGCCTCAAGGAGGTTCTGGCAAACCATCCGACGACTCAGGAAGAGAAAGTAGGGCTTACCCCAGGCTGTTCTCAGCAGGGGGGGGAACTGCTGACCCGGACAGGGGACATCGTCGGGCGGTGGAAAGAGCACTTTGAGGAACTCCTAAACCCGACCAACATGTCCTCTGCAGAGGAGGCAGCACCTGAAGATCTAGGGGGAGGCTCACCCATATCCCTGGCAGAGGCCGCTGAGGTAGTCAAAAAGCTCCTCGGTGGCAAGGCGCCGGGGGTGAATGAGATCCGCCCTGAGATGCTGAAAGCGATGGACATAGTTGGGCTGTCCTGGCTGACACGCCTCTTCAATGTCGCATGGGGGTCGGGATCAGTGCCCATGGACTGGCAGACCGGGGTGGTGGTTCCCATTTTCAAAAAGGGGGACCGGAGAGTGTGCTCGAATTACCGGGGTATCACACTACTCAGCCTCCCGGGGAAGGCTTATGCCAGGGTGCTGGAAAGGAGGCTCCGACCGTTTGTCGAACCTCAGATTCAAGAGGAGCAATGCGGATTCCGTCCCGGCCGTGGAACAGTGGACCAGCTCTTTACCCTCGCAAGACTACTGGAGGGGCTCTGGGAGTTTGCCCAACCAGTCTACATGTGCTTTGTGGACTTGGAGAAGGCTTTCGACCGGGTCCCTCGGGGGTTCTTGTGGGGGGTGCTGCAGGAGTATGGGGTGCCGGACCCATTACAACGGGCGATCCGGTCTCTGTACGACTGCAGTAGGAGCTGTGTCCACATTCTTGGCAATAAGTCAGACACGTTCCCGGTGGGTGTTGGCCTCCGCCAGGGCTGCCCCTTGTCTCCGGTCCTGTTCGTGACTTTCATGGACAGGATATCTAGGCGCAGTCGGGGGGTGGAGAACGTCAGGTTTGGGGGTCTCGGGATCGCCTCTCTGCTGTTTGCAGATGATGTGGTCCTGTTAGCCTCCTCGGAACGTGACCTCCAGCATTCACTGGGGCGGTTTGCAGCCGAGTGTGAAGCGGCGGGGATGAGAGTTAGCACCTCCAAATCTGAGGCCATGGTGCTCTGCCGGAAACCGGTGGATTGCTCCCTCC